AATTTAAAATTAATTAAGAAAAAGATGTTTACACAGGGCTTTAATTAGTGCATTTAAGATGGTACTGATGCAACCAAGTACTGAAAATAATATGCTACATGAAAGTCTTTCAGAGATTTATTGACTATAGTGATGAAATTACCCAGTAGTATTCTGGTGGTTATATTATGATGATAGTGGTTAAAATCCTGTAGTCATTGGACGATGTCTTTAATGGCACAATGTTAAGTGTTAGAACTCCAAGGAGCAAGGATACAATAGACAACACAATTTAAGTTTATGAGTATTGAGCATTAATATAGCAATGCTTAGTCAAGAGACTTTAGGCATAAAGAATAAAGTGTACCGACTGTGGAATCAGGCCGGCCAGGATTTTTAGACAAGATGCTCATTTACGCTTTCCGGTTTTTTTGTCAGAAAAAGGGAATTCTAATGAGACCTACTTCTTAGGAATTGTTGTGAAGATGCAGTTAAGATAACAGCAGTGACAAGCATTTCCACAGGCCTTACTGTGTGCCAGATACCAGTCTAAGCACTGTTGATAAAGTCAATCATCTGATCCTCACAGCGGACCTATACAGTGGGCACTATTATTTCTGGCATTAGATGTCAGCAAATAATACCAACGGGAACTGCTATCAAGAAGTGTGTTCTCAACCACACTATGGTGATAATAAGAACACATCAGGAGGAGGGACCACGTCTAGACAGTTCCTCTAGACCAGTGGTTCTCAACCTTCCTAATGCCACGACCCTTTAAATACAGTTCCTCATGTTGTGGTGACCCCTCAACCATAAAATTATTTTCACAGCTACTTCATAACTGTCATTTTGCTACTATTATAAATCAGGCGACCTCTGTGAAAGGGTCGTTAGACCCCCAAAGGGGTCACAACCCACAGGTTGAGAACCACTGCTCTAGACAGGTAAGGCCTGAAAAACCAAGTGAAACTGATACCAATGATAATTTTGGAACCCTAACATTAAAAGGAAGGATACCGATGGATTGGAACACTAGCTAGACGAACCAGTTGAACAAATGCAGCAAACAAAGAGTGACACAGAACGCAGGAACCCTGCCAGCTGCCCAGCCTCAGACGAGACTAGTAGAGCTACTGAACAAGGAGCACAGGAAGGCAGCCTCACAGCATCCCCAACTAGAAACAGAACCTGAACAGAAACGCCTGCGGGGAAGGAAGGTGGGAGACTCAATACTGTTCCAAGGAAGAAGAGCAGAGGAAGGAGGGCAGGTCCCAGGGAGCCCGTTGTAGCTAGAACAAAGTGAGAACAGGTAGCAAGAGTCATCTTCCCTTGAGCGGTGGTCCATGACCATTAGGGTAGGTGGGACAAAGGAAGCAAAAGATTCCCCAGACTAGAGACTTAGAAAAGTCTTCAAGGCATGGTATTCAGTGCAAAATAGACAATACAATGTGACCCCTTATGTTTGCTTTTAGACATACGCACATTTTTATATAGGTGGTATAGGATTTCTATTAAATATAGGATGTTTGTGTTTGTGTGTGTAGGTGAGTCTGTCCTACAAACATAGAGGATATGGGGCATATAAGCCTGTTTAGTATCATGCCTCCCTATTTCATAGAAATAATAAAATTTTCTATTATTGATAATAACCTTTGAGTGGGTAGAGGAAGAAAATATGGAAAATTCACTTCGTTATGTATTTTGTTTTGTCTGAATTATTTCAAATAAGAATATTTTACAAGAAAATCAGAAAAAAATTGCTGTTGGGAAAAGATCTGTAAAAATATACCACACTAAATATTAATGACTTAAAACCATATTTTCTTCTGACTTGTATAGTGAAGAAATTCTAATGTGAGCAAAATAGCAACTCAGGTAGTCTTTTTGGTTAGACAAATTTCGATGTCTGTGAAAGCAGGTTAGGTGGTGTTTGGTTATTTGTACTTTTTTTTAAAGAAAATACACTTTTTTCCTTCCAATTTCTCGGGTGTGTGTATATCTGTGTATTTGGGAATGAGAGATATATGTGTCTTTAATCTTTAAATAATTGTCTTCAGGAACAAATGTTGGGAAAATCCCAGGAAGTAATGGAAAGAATAACTAGAAGTGATTAATATTTCATTATCTAGGCAAAGCAAAGCTTCCCTTACCTCCCTTCCCCTCATTCCTTTTTAAGCAAGTAAGAATCACCCTGCAAGTACTTGGAAAAGGGTATTCCGATGACCAAACACAATGAGGTCCTAAATAATGTATCCCATTAAAGTCATTATTACAAGAACATTAGTTTTATATCTTTTAGAGCAGTGGTTCTCAACCTGTGGGTTGTGACCCCTTTGGGGGGTCTAACGACCCTTTCACAGGGGTCGCCCAATTCATAACAGTAGCAAAATGACAGTTATGAAGTAGCAACGAGAATAATAATATGATTGAGGGGTCACCACCACATGAGGAGCTGTGTTAAAGGGCGGCGGCACTAGGAAGGTTGAGAACCACTGCTCTAGAGAATGCTGTTCTCAACTATTCCTCCCTAGTGGTAAGAGTGATAAAATCACCCGGGGTAACTGTATTTATTTGCAATACTGATGTTAACTTTCACTGACGTGCATGAAAAATTATAGAGAAAGTACCTATCTGCAAAGGAAGAGCCAATTTTTTCTTTGAAATCAGAATGGTGCGGTTATTTTTCAGAATGCCTTATAGTAATTTGCCAAATCAGTTGATTCTAAAATCTGCGTGACATGGAGAGATTAGTATGATATGCCTAAGCTTAATTGACAACTTGGAAATAGCTATTTGTGGACATTTTAATGTGGTATTGCTATTTTATTAGGAGGTAATGGCTTGAGTTATAATAATGCTTTAAAAACTAAATCCTTATTCTACTTACGTATTATTATATAAAATAAACTCACTATTATTGGAGAGGATGTTTAACGTGATGTTTAAGATGTTTTAGAACAGGAAGAAAAGCTATGGATAGAGGTATAAACATAGATGTGTACATTTGTATATATATTAATTCATAAATATAGAGGTATTGGCCTTTGTACATATATTTACATGGCAATACATTGAGGAAATGGACGTACTTTGGGCCTCTTGTTTAAGCCCTCCCTCAATGCAAGAACACTTTGTTCTAACAACCTGGCATTCTATGATGCTCACCCTCCTGACAGGATCACTGAAAACAAAATGTGTGCATAAGCAAATATGGTGAAGAAAGCCAGTGGTGCCCGCCTATCAAAAGAGATAGTGTCTAGGGTCTTAAAGGCTTGAAGTTAAACAAGTGGCCATCTAGCAGAGAAGCAACAGTCCACATGGAAGAAGCACACCAGCCTGTGCGATCATGAGGTGTCGACATCAGAAGACCCAAAACAGACAAAAACCATATTGGGGGATCAAAGCAGTGACCCAAAACCCATCTGCAGACAATGGGACATCCCCTCACAGAAGGGTCACAAGGAAGGGATGAGTCAACCAGGGCGCAGTATAGCACCAATAAAACACAATATTCCTCTGGTTCTTTGAGGCTTCCCCACCCCTCACTATCATGACCCCAGTCCTGCCTTTCAGTTCTGGCTAGACCAGAGCATGTACACTGGTACAGATAAAGAGCTCACAACACACAGAATCCAAGTCAGATAAACCCCTCAAGAACAGAAATGGGAGTAACAATACCAGGAGTGTAGGGGGAAGGTGGGGAGAACCAATCGCAGTGATTGACGTATAACACCACACCACCCCCCACCCCTGAGACGTGGGTGAAGGGAGACAGTGGTAGGTGTAAGATATGAAAATAATCATTTATAATTTATCAAGGTGTCACGAGTGGGGAGGGAGGGTAAAAAGGAGCTCATATCAAGGGCTCAAAGAGAAAGTAAATGTTTAGAAAATGATGGTGGCAACATATGTACATATATGCTCAATACAATTGATGTGTGGATTGTTATAAGAACTGTAAGAGCCCCCAACAAAATTATCTTTAAATAAAAGAAAACAATATAAAACCAGGCAACAAAAAAACCAAATTCACTACCATCAGGTTGATACCAACTCAGAGTGACCCTATAAACCAGAGTGGAACTGTCTCTGAATTTCTGAGACTGTTTTCTCCCTTGGAACAACTGGTGGTTTCAAACTGCTGACCTTGCAGTTAGCAGCCCAATTTGTAACCACAACACCACCAGGGCTCCTGTAAAAACATACCACTGAACTTCAAAACCTAGCCCACCAATTCCTAGTTGTATACTTTTGGGCAGATTATGTATTATTTCTCAGCCTTGATCTCCACATTTGTGAAAGGGGCATATTAAGTAGTAGATGAGTGAGTAGTAGTGAGTTTGGTTTTTGTTGCCCGGTTTTAGTAGATACTCTGTTAATGAGCTAATATTTAGAAAACACATATACACCTAGTAAAGAGTCTCTAGGTGGTGCAACCGCTAAGCACATAACTCTGCCCAGTGATGCCTTATGAGAAAAACCTGGAATTTGCTTTGGCAAGATCATCGCCATTATAAATCCTGTGGAGTGCAGATATATTCTGAAACACATAGGGTCAGCATGGGTCACAATGAACCTGCTTAGGGTTTGATATATACTCACTGCTCAACAAGTTTAGTTATTATTGTTATTTGCCACTTTCCCCATATACTGTCTAATAACTGTGTTGTCAAATAAAATAGTTATTTTCCTATCATGCTCTAGACCGGTGGTTCTCAACCTGTGGGTCAAATGACCCTTTCACAGGGGTCACCCAATTCATAACAGTAGCAAAAGTACAGTTTGATAGCAACGAAAATAATTTTATGGTTGGGGGTCACCATTACATGAGGAACTAACTATTAAAGGGTCGCTGCATTAGGAAGGTTGAGAACCACTGGTCTAGACTAAGCATTTACTGCATTATAATCTGTTTTTAAAGTGCCTTTTAATTTAGTTTGTGTTAACCTGAGGTAGAAAACTGACTTTTGACATTCCTTGGTTTTAATTATTCCTTTCTTGTTTGTATTACAGTTACAAATTATAATACTGTGGTAGAAACAAATTCAGATTCGGATGATGAAGACAAACTCCATATCGTGGAAGAAGAAAGTGTTACAGATGCAGCCGATTGTGAAGGTGGTGTGCCAGACGATGACCTGCCAACAGACCAGACAGTATTACCAGGGAGCAGTGAAAGAGAAGGAAATGCTAAGAGCTGCTGGGAAGAAGATGGTAAGTTGTATTTTTATTATACTAGTCTATTGTTTGGAGTTTCTGAAATAGGAATTAACTGAAAAGATAGATTGGGTGAATACTTTGAAACAAACAGTTACATTAGTTGTTCTAAAACATTCACATTTTTTATCACTGAAACCTCCCAATCATATATTTGTCACTGTGTAGACTCTGTCTCATAAGCACAGTTTTTCATATATTGACACAAATACTTTTATGTCACATATGATCTGTGCATGCACCAAATAAGAATACTTAACCAACATGCAATGACAGCCTGCAACCCCAGCTTTCTATTTGACTAGAAATATCCTTATCTTGTTTGTCTTTTATGTATTACCTCAATGTACAGAGTGTTTCTCTTTCTTCAAGGACAGTATGTGTTCACTTTAACTCTTAAAAGATTTTTGTTTTCTTCCCAAATTAGTTCAACAATTGACACATTGCAGTTTTCCTTTTCTTTCTTTCAAATAGTTGATTATTTTCTATGAAATGTTATGGAGACTATTTTATTCTTAAAATTGCATAGGCTTATTTATTTGCTTAGTTAATGCAAAACATCTTTGGGGCAGGGAGCATTCTTATTCAATAGATTGAGTGTACCTGTCATTCACATTCTGATTCTAAACACTGAAAGTAATGCAAGGCTGAGGGAATGGCTTGGACCCTGCATCTGACCTCCTTTAGCTTCTGTAGGTAGGATGAGAGTAGTGGGGAATGGTAAGTGACTCCCACTTTTTAAAAAAATCATTTATTGGGGACTCATGCAACTCTTATAATCCATACAACAATTGTATAAAGCACATGTGTACATTGGTTACCCTCATCATTCTCAAAACATTTGCTCACCATTTAAGCCCCTGGCATCAGCTCCTTATTTTTACCCCTCCTTCCCTGCTCCCCACTCCCTCATGAACCCTGGGTAATTTATAAATTATTTTGTCATATCTTACACTGTGCGACATCTCCCTTCACCCACTTTTCTACTGTCCGTCCCCCAGGGAGGAGGCTATATGTAGATCCTTGTAATCAGTTCCCCCTCTCTACCCAACCCTCCCTCCATTCTCCTGGTATTGCAACTCTCACCACTGATCCTTAAGGGATCATCCATCCTGGAATCCCTTTGTTTCCAGTTCCTATCTGAACCAGTGTACATCCTCTGGTCTAGCCAGATTTGTAAGGTAGAATTGGGATCATGATAGTGGGGTGGGGAAGGAAGCATTTAGGAACTAGAGAAAAGTTGTATGTTTCATCATTGCTACACTGCACCCTGACTGGCACGTCTCCTCCCCGTGATCCTTCCGTAAGA